AATGAGATGTCTCATCCCTGTGTAGAAGTTCAGTAGACATAGGGATGAGACATCTCATTGTCACCAGAGTTTGGGATACCAAACATAGGGGGTCAACTTGGGAGTCCAGTTGGAGCTTTATCACTTTGACAATGGAAGACTCGCTAGTTAATTCCAGAGCAGAACAGATGTCCAGATCTTTAAATGAGTTGCTGTCAGCCCTCCTATAAGTTGCATGCTGGTCAGACGATTCAGGAGGGGGTGAATCAGTCAAAGAGCATTCATCCAGTGAGTCCCCTTGGGCATCCTCCTCTTCTACTTCTGGCAGCTTCATGCTGAGCCTGGGAGGGTGGGGAGATCTGAACATTAAAACAAGAAAAGGAGACACCCCAGCATCCTACTGGTTTTGATGGGAAGCTGAGATGCAGAGTCATAACAAAGGAGCACAGCCATTATTGATGCAAAAACTATCCTCCTGTTTCATGAGCAGTGTGTGGCTGCTGTGAAGACAGTACGGATATCTAGAGAACAGAAGGATCTCAGGGTAGTGGCCAGAAAACAGTTTCTGAGCAACAAACTGAACGATTGTAGAATGGAAGTCATGGCTCACAGTAACCATGGAGAATCCTAAAGATGGTTTTGACACTTTTGCATAAATGCTGTTGCTATTACGTTCAGTGATCAAGTGAACACGACTTTTTTTAAAAATTTCTTTTCATTGTAACAGTATTCATTGTTTTTGCACCGCACCCAGTGCTCCATGCAATACATGCCCTCCCCAAAACCCACCACCTGGTTCCCCCAACTTCCCACCCCCCACCCCTTCAAAACCCTCAGGTTGTTTTTTAGGGTCCATAGTCTCTCATAGTTCACCTCCCCTTCCAATTTTAAAAGGCATCCTCAACCTGGAGAGATCTTGTGTGTTCGGTGACTCTTTAACTACTGTGATAAGACGTGAATTTTTTTCTAGGTATTCTTTTGCTAGAATATATCCTCAATGTGGTAACACCAAAGAGGGGGAGACAGCTATGCCTGTCACTATGGATTTACCAAAAGAAGGCAACAGTGGAATGCAGAGAATCTCACTGACTAATCAATTCACCAAGTTCAACTGAATGCAGGTTAGTGAGATGGAGGGGTCCATTAATGGAATTTAGCCATGTAACACAGTAAAGACACACATCATGGTTAAAAGAGATACTTTCTGGTTGGAGAATAGATGAAATAGATACATTCATCAGTTTCTATTTTTTCATTGTAATGCAGTCCTTAAATTTAACCACTGAAATAGCAACCCATGATTCTTTCTTTCTATTATCTACATATAATGTGTTATTTGTTTCAGCAATACAGGTCTGTGAATCATCGGTCTTATACAATTCACAGCACTCACCATAGCACATGCCCTCCCCAATGTCCATCACCCAGCCACCCCATCCCTCCCCCACCCCCAGCAGCCCTCAGTTTGTTTCTTCAGATTAAGAGTCTCTTATAACAACCCATGAGTCTTTAGAGTTACCCGGGACATATCAGGTCTTGGTCTTCTTTCTCCTCATAATGGAATTGATTTTCTGTAAATAGATGGAGACCGTGCCAGTCATTAAGCAGATCCCTCTCGGTACAAAAGAATCCAGTGTCTAATGCTGCCCAGGCACTCAGATATGCTTAATGTGAGAACATGTTCAGTGAGAAGATTACATGAGGATGCCTCGTTTATTGCCTTGTGATAACTGCCTTGATTTCCCAGCCTTAGCCATTAGGTAGGAGATTATCATCCCAGTTTCCCCTGTCTGAAGTCTGTGTAAACACATTAACTTCTCTTTTTTCACAGATTCTGGAGAGCCAGCCTCCTTGCATTCTAAAAGGATTACTGCAGTATTCAGTCTTCTCTCCTCAGATAGCTGGGTTGCTGAAAGCTTAGTGGAATTTATATACCGAGACTGAACAGATGGCATGCAACTACAAACCCTCAAGTTAAAGTGAGTCTTTGGTGCTACACAGATCTGTAGCCCAATTCGTGTGGGGGGAAGGAAATGCCAAGGCACAGCTGTGCTTCTGGAAACACACAAAGAGGATATCAGTGGAGGCACTGATGGTGGGTTTTCAGACAACTGTTTAGGAAGACAAGCCAACCTAAAGGAGATAGAGAATGGGGCTAAGAAGACCAAAACCAGTTAACCCTGGACAAGAATGCCATTTGACTGTGGCAAGCATAGGTTCATAAAGGACCTGGCTCAGAGATGAAATGTACAGCTTATTAAGTGTGAGAAAAGAAATTTCATCCAGATTAGGTCTGACAGACAACTTCTCTGGTCATATTGCTGAGGTGAGTTGAGTTTGTGGTGCCTGACATGGGCCCAGTGACCTGACAGAGAAGCCACGGTGACAGGTGATGACCTGGGAGTAGGAAGAGAGGAAAGTTCCCTGGCCCACCTGATGTCTGGGCTTAAAACTTAATCCTAGAGCCCAGTTCAGATCAATATGTCTCTACAGAGCTTGCCCACAGGGATGAACTTTCTGGGCACAACAGAGGTCTGGGTATAAAGAACAGGAGATCTGTGTGGATGTCCACTGGGAGCTTTATCACCTTGACAACGGAGTACTCACTGGCCCCTTCCAGAGAGGAACAGACTTCTGGGTTATCAGGTGAGAAGATGGCGGCGCTCCTGTAAGGCCAGTAGGAGTCAGACAGGTCGGGAAGCACTGGGTATGTCAAGTAGCATTCATCTGGAGAGTCCCATGAGATGTCCTTCTCTACCACCTCTAGCAGCTGTCTGCTGAGCCTGCAGCATGGGGACAACTGAACATTAACCTCAGAGGGATCTGAATCCCATGTCCTGTCTGGCTTTGATGGAGGGCAGAAGGGAGTGGTCCAGGAAGCAAAGAGGTTGACCTAGGAAAGAGAGGAACAACTCTTCTTGTGTTTGTGGGACAAGGTGTGTTTGTCACAGGGGTGGCAGATAGAAAGGACAATAAGTGTTCAGTACACAAGCTGAATAGCAAGCTTGTGAAGGAAGAGACTGAATTCTCTCTGTGCCGTCCAGCCATGACTAGCTCAGAATGGTGGCTTTCCCACTTCATTCAAATGGCATTGAATTCTGCATGTAGGGGCCAAGCACTGGGAGCTTTGGGAGCAGGTGACTGTCCCAGGTATCTCATGCCCATGAAGGTCCTTTTCTCTAAATATTGTGGCATGATAGAATATGTTTGTCTTCTTGCCATGATATTTTCATTCTATGAACACTGTCAATTGATAAGTCCAACAGGCAGAAAGTAGACATGCATGTCTCTGTAAAATAGACCAGGGACAATGAGCATGCACAGCGATCCCTGTGACATATTAGTTCAGCTGAGTCAGCTGACTGTGGGTTACTCAACTAGAGAAGTACTTCAGAAATGGGGAGCAATCCCAGGACCACAATGAAAACAGAAAACGTTGTGAAAATGGATCATTTGTCATTGACCAAATGGGTAATAGAGCTCTCTTGAGCACTTTCTGCTTTTCCCTGGTTGCCACTTTGCAATTCGCAGCCCCTAAGTATTCAGAATTACATGGGGACAACTGACTCCTGTCCTTTCAGTCTGTCCTGATCCATTTTGTTTTCTGCAAATAAATGAAGACAAAGTGACACCAAGCAGATTTCCCTTCACAAATGCCCACTCCTGTGTCCCATGTAGCACAGGGCAGAATTCTAAGCAGAGTAATTACAGGCAACTGTGAGACAAATCATCCTGGAGAGCTTAGGTAGGTCCTTGCAAGCAATTACTGGGATTGCTCTCTTGAGCCATTAAACAAATGTTCCTGATATGTCAGGCCATCATCACAGCATCCTGCCTTGAGACTATGCAAAGAACAAATGATTCTCTTCCCCATGATTGGGGGAACTACCCGGCTACTTCCTAGAGTGTTGCTGCACTATTCAGGCTTTTTCCATCTGAAATGCTGTTGGTTAATTTTTTAGAGGAATCAACCATGAGATTAAACCAACGAATGGAATCTACACACCATCAAATCAGAATAATCTTCAAAGCCACAAAGAAACAGGGGCTGTTTATGGGTGAGGAAAGTTTCAGGATCCTGCCTTGCTCCAGAAAAAATACACTGCACGATAACATGGATCCAGTTCTGATTCTCTGCTGACTTGAGAGAAGACAAATGGAGACACAGACTAAGTGAGGAGAGTGAACCAGGGTACTGACATCTCCAAATATATAGAAAAGGCTGCCAGCTACCTTGGCAGGCATTGAAATTCAGGGATACGGCTTAAGAATGGAAATTAGATCCTTGCAAGAGACACAAGAGATGAATTCAAAATTAGGAAGTCTGGAAGTGACCTCCTGTGCCTGGGCTAGAGAGGTACATGATTCTGGCAGGGCTGCCTTGAGAGCAGTGATGGGCAGTGGCCGAGACATAAAAGTGCTGTGGCTTAGACAGGAGTTGAGCAAAGCTCACTGACTCATGGAATGTCTTATTTTGAACTCAGTCCTAGAGCCTGAATCAAAAGAGTTTGTAAGTATATGATTGACTTATGGGGGTCAAGTCCTTCAATCTACATAGCATGTGAGGAACAAGATATATGGATATTACTTGGGGACCATGTGCAGTTTCTGCCCCTTTGGGATGGGAACATTCAGAGGCTATATCCAGAGCAGAACCGAATTCTTACGCATCAAATGGGAATTTGCCATCAGTGTAACACTCGTTGCTTTCATACTCTTCTTCTAAAATTGAAGGAGTCAAAACACATACATCCACTGTGTCCTGTAGTTCCTCCTTCTTTTCACCTTTGTGATGCTCCATGCTGTGGCAGGTAAGATAGGAATGATAAAAGATCAAATCAGAAGCATCAGACACCATTGCTTCCTAGCTGTTTTTGATCAGAGTTAATAGGTTGTGCTCACAGAAAGCAACTTGGCTGTCCTCTTGAAGGAAAAAACTATCCTCCAATATGAGGAACAGTCTGTGGCATCCTATATGAGGATCAATGAGAGACAGAGCTGTAGATGCTCTGTGCACTGGCCTCATAACCAATTGATGGAGGAGGAGACTAAACTCTCCATCATAGTCATGACTCCCAGCACACAGAGGGAATCCAAAGCCGTGGTTTCAACTCTTCTACATACAATGTATTGACTTTTATCTGCAGTGCCCAAATGACTATAGTTCCTGAGGCCTTACTCTCAGGCATGCTGACTCCAATGAATATTTTCCCACCATTTTGATATGACATGCATTTATTCTTCAATCTCCTCCCTTGCTATTAAAAATCCTGCCAAGATGACGCTGTCAAACAGGCACAAAGCTGACACACTTCTCACCTGTGTTTTCACCACTGAGGAGAGAACAGCTGATTACAGGAATCCCTGGGTTGGGTCAGTTCCTGTGTGTCTACTCTCTGTAGGTTACTCAACATGTGAGGGAGTAAGAAATTGAGGCCTCCGCAACTACCACATGGAAACAGAGGACACGGTTAAAGGGGATGTTCTGCTATTAGCCGTATGGATGAAATTGTTCTAGGCAACACTTTCTCTTTATCCCTGGATGTGAGATCTCCAGGGGTCACCAGGAAATTCATAGTCTACAGTCTTCAATTACCTGGAGCACATTGGTTGTTGTCCATTTTCTTCCCCAAGATCATCTTGACTTTCTGCAAGAAAGTTTGGAGACCACAGGTCACACTAAGGAAATCACACTTCCCATGTTACCAACACAGTGACCACACACACTGCAAGGACATTAAGATTTTCAGTGTAAAACCATACTGTTCTGGCAGGGATATTCCAGGCTGCCTAAGGGTAAGCCTTCAGAGAATTAGACAGGACTGTGCCCTGACCAGCTGGGGAAATTCTCTTCCTTGTCCCCTACAAATTATCCCAATATCCTCCTCTAATGTGAGTCTATGAGAAGAGATTATAATATATTTTCCCCCAGAGATGCAGGGGAAGAACCCAGGCACCTGCGAGAAGAGTTGCTGCAAAAGGGGATAATTCCATGAGATATCATGGTCTTGTAGCTTCTCAGGAATTTATACTTGAGACTAGACTAATGAATCAATTGTAGAAACCCTCAAATCAAAAAGAATCTTTGGTCTTCTTCTGAAACAAAAGCCATTTGTGGTTTGAGTGATGCCAGAGCCCCACCTTGCTTCACAGAAGCAAACACACAAGGTAATGACACAGTTGTTTTCAGGTGACTGCTTAGCTAAGTTGAGCCAGCATAGAGAAGAGAGCAACTGGGAGTGAGAGCAGTGAAATGAGAGAAAGCCCCTTATATCAGCCAACAATGTTGGACAGGCCTAGAACCTCAAGAGAGATTGATCATAAAGAGAAAGTATCAGTGCATATTGCAAAAGACATTTGATCCAAGTAGGGTATCTGACAACACCTTTGTGGATGTCCTAATGAGTTGGATAGAATTTGTTGCCCCAAACACAGGGGCAATGACCTGACAGTGGGGCTGGAGAGTCTGAGGCATGGCCCCTACCTAGGATGGTTAAAGGCTCCCTGACCCACCTGACCTCTATGTTTCCAAATTCATTATGTCCTGATTTAAAGCAACGTGTGTCTATAGGGCCTGTGTATAGAGATGACCTTCCGCAGTGTAGACAAGGTGTGTGGAACAAACAATATGGACACTACCTGAGGGGGCACGTGGAGTTTCATCCCCTTTGGAATGGGAGCATTCACAGGCTAAATCTGGAGCAGAGCCCAATTCCTGTTCATTTAATGGGAACTCGCCATCATTGTAAGCCTGGTCACTGTCACACCCTTCTTGCAGAGTTGAAGGAGTCAGAACACATTCATCCTCTGTGTCCTGTGGGACTTCCTTCTTCTCAACTTCCTGCAGCTCCCTGCTGTGCCACGTGACACAGGAATGACAGAAGACCACACCAGGAGGATCAGACAGTGTGGCTTTCTAGCTGGTGTTGATGGGAGTTAGTAGGGAGTATCAGTAGAAGCAAAGGGCCGTTGCCTAGAGAGGGAAAAAGCTATCCATTCTACAAGAGACAGAATGTGGCTGCCTTGGGGTGGGAGAGGAGCAGCAGCCACAGAAGGACCTACAAGCATGAGACTCAACCATCCCAGTATGGTACAGTCATCACATGAAGCGCAGATGGAGACCAGCCCAGGGGCAACCACCATGTGCCTATGTCTTGTGGTTACAGCTCTGGACTCCTTACAGACTGCAGAAATGTGTGCCTTCTCGGCACCTTTGTATTAATTAGTGTCACATGACTCCCCGAGTTTTTGGTTTTTGGTTAATTCTCTTGGTGTTTAATTTTGGTAGTTGTCTCTTTAGCAATTCCTTTGCTGCTCACCTTCCTATCAAGGACCTTAGAGACTGTGGAAAATAAATATGCATGTCCTTCCATCATCCATTTACAGGGAAGAATGGCTATTTTGTAGATATGGTGAATCCTAAGGCTGTTAATTCATCTTGGTCTTCCAAGCCTCATAGAGACAACAGAAAGCCAGGCTCACAGGGCATCCGGGGTTGACCCTCTGCAGTCTTGCTCATCCTTGTATCTGGCACCTGGGACTCTCTTGACCTCACTTACTTCTCTTTCTATGTCCTTGTACATTTTTTACCCACACATTACCAGTTCCTGAATTTGCATTGTCACCTGGGGGTCATTGTTTTTTATTCTTCTTAATCTTCCTGATTGTTCTAATGATCTGCAAAGAAATCCAGAATTGTCCCTTCAGCTATTTCCCACATCATCACTATAAGCACAGCAGCTTCTATGGCCTTAGAGACATAAGTGTCTTTGCATGACTAGATGTTCTACTGAGTTTAGGGCAGTGTCTTTAAGAACTGCTATGACCTGGGTTTCTGATCCATCAGGCGGTGTGTCTGTGATTCTGAGGCTCAGCATCACTGAACCTGGGCAACTGTTTCTACTGTCTCTTGTTGTCCCTATCAGGGGATTGTTGTCCATGTTAAGTCTTAACTTCCACAACCATGTCTTGCAGCAGGCCCCAAATCCCACCCCAGGCACAGACTCTGTGCATTCACGGCACTCACATAGAGCTTCCTCCTTGCCCTCATGACAGGACAACCAGCCTTTCCCACATCCCTCCACCAGGGACTTCATGACCCCCATGTGGGCTTCAGTGTCCTCAAGGGGACGTCTGTCTATGAAAAGTGTTCAATCTAAACTGCGTTCCCACCTTCAAATCATACTGACTCCAGTACCACATCCAACTCCACATGGTCAGGGTCTTTCTTTTTTACTGAAGTGCATTCGAGAATTTTCCCATTTGATCACTATGGTGACAAGAATTTATTTGATATACATTAAAGACGAGGGGACAGCTATGGAGAAAGTAAAACTCACTCTCTCACCCACGGTCAATACAGACCAGGCTGAGTCTGGGAACCTCCCACTTCTGCAAGGGATCCTTGCATACTAATAAGCTGCCTCCTGTCACATTCCCCTTTCCAGGCTCTAAATCTGTTCCATGCTGCCTACTGCCGCAAAGACTGTGTCCCCTCAGGGAGGAAGCAGACAGGTGGACCATGTGACCTCCACCCTGTGCATTGCTCCTCTCTGCTACCACCTCCCAGTCCCGGTCACCTCATGGAACCACGTGTGACTGGGAACCCAGGAAAGTTGCTGCAAACAGTATGAGGGCAGGCGGGGAGTCTCGTGGGAGTCTCTTTGGAGCCCAGGGACTTGGAGCAGTGCAGTGCAATCAGGGTCTGTGGCCATCTTACCTGGGCTGAGCTTTCAGGCAAGGCACTTGGCCTGCCTGTGTCCCTCAGCCATTTGCTCTTGGAAGTCCTGTCCTTGGCAATGCTCATTGTCATTTTGGGTGAGGAGGTCCTCGAGGTACTTATTGAGTAGTTGGGAAACATCTTTCCCTTCCCGTAGCTTCTCATACAAATGGGTCAGTTCTTTATCCTGATCTTTAGCTAGAACATGATATTGCCTAAGGTGGGACAGAGAAAATTTTTAAATCCAAGTAATTGAACAGTAGATGATAGGAGCTTTCATGGAGATTTCTGGCAGAGTTTCCCCAAGGAGTCCTTGAAGCTAAAGTCTGGCCTGTGTGGTGACCTGTCTGTTGCAGAGAAAGAAGAAGGTAAAACAAGGCCTCCTCTGTATTCAGAGCATTCTTCTGGTCATGCCCTGGACCTCCCGTGCATCTTTACTTCTGTAAACAAAGGCAGGTGTCCTCCTAAGAACACATCAGGGCGATGTCTGGTAAACGATGGAATTTAATGACTGAGAGCCTCATTCCCTCTTTGTAGGACTTACTGTATTTCTGCAGTTGGTTGGCCAGGAAGTAGGCAGTAGCTTCAGATATAAAGAATTTCTCCTTAAGGTCTCAGAAGTCCTGCTTGCTTTTTCCCAGCTGGAATTGAAGCCCTTGGTTTATTTTCAGGAGTCTGATTTCTGCCCCTGTCTTGCACAGAGAGCCAAGAGATGCTGCCATGGTGATGTTTGGCAGGAAAGGTAGAGCTGGGGACAAAGGAGAATAAGCCCAAACACATGATGGGTTAAAAACCCGTGACATCAAGTAGATTTTATCAGGGCTGAGGGGTGAGGAAAAAGAAATTCTTTACTTACTGTTGGGAACAATTTGAACAATACTCCACAGCACTTGAGAGTCAGTAACCACAAAAACAAGGTTCAAGATGGCAGAGTTGGGAGCCAAAGGTACTGCTCGTAGCTCAGACTCCAACTGGATTGACTGAGGGAGCACCCAGAATGCCAGCTAACAGTCTGTACTTGCACTAACAGAATGGAACGTCCAGAGTGTCAGTGGAACTTTGGGAGACATGCCTTCCAGTTGCCAAAGCCATGCTGGTATTCAAGGCTGCCTGGTCTCCCCTGAAGGTCACCACTGATGGGGCCCACCCCTCAGTGGCCAGTGTCAATAGTTGTCTACCCTTGTGCTGATAGCACAGTTCCCATCTCTTTCTAAAACATGATCTCAGCATAGTTCTCATTGTTTATTCTTATATCTGTATGATATCAAGGGAGAAATTCTTTCCCAAGAAGTTTTGGTTTTTTCTTTCTCTTTATTTATTTGAGAGAGAGAATGGGGGCATGGGTACAGGAAGAGAGTGTGATAAGGGGCTCAACATCACAACCCCTGAAATCATGACCCTTGCCTAAACCCAAGGTCAGATGCTCAACCAAGGGAACCACTCAGACTCCCCTCCCAACAGGTATTCTTAAGGGCTCTCATGAACTCATCCCACTTCTCTTTAAGGTAACACAGATTTTAAAGCTTTTCCAGTAAGGGAATTTTGTAAAGTTGTAGACTATCACGATGTTCTTCTCTAGGTCTTTTCTAGTTTTTTTTTTTTTTTCTCTATCCATTAGAAACACAAGAGAAGCATGCTAGCAGTTTAGTTATCATTAGTTGCTTTGTATTTGAAAAGCTTTTCAATTTATTTAGATCTTCCTCCATTTACAATACTTGATTAGGATGTATGTAGTAAATAAAGCTTTCTTTTAAGCAAAAACAAAACAAAAACAAAATAAAAAACAAAAACAAGAGAGAAACCAGAGTTAGTTTATGCAATTAACTTTGAAAATTTTTTTCTGTCCCAACTTTCTCAATATTCATTCTGCATCTCTGTGTTATGTAGACTTCTTTTCGCATCCTATGGACATATGATTTTAATTTTCTTAGCTATTTACCTTGCAGTGGAATTGCTATGTCAAAGGTAACCCTATGTTTCACTTTTTGAGGAACTGCCAAGCTATTTTCCAAAGCAAAGCAATGACACCATTTTGCATTCCCACCAGGAATGTGTAAGAATTCCATTTTTCTATAAGTTTCCCGACACATGTATTGTCTCTTTGTTTGAAGTCACACTAGTGGGATGAAGTGGGATCTCACTGCGCTTTAGATCTGTATTTTCCTTTTTTTTTTTTAAAGATTTTATTTATTTATTTGACAGTAAGAGAGATCACAAGTGGGCAGAGAGGCAGGCAGAGAGAGAGGAGGAAGCAGGCTCCCTGCTGAGCAGAGAGCCCAATGCAGGGCTTGATCCCAGGGCCCTGAGATCATGACCTGAGCTGAAGGCAGAGGCTTTAACCCACTGAGCCACCCAGGTGCCTAGATCTGTATTTTCCTAATGACTAATGATACTGAGCATCTTTTCATGTGTTCACTATTGCATTGGTATTATCCTTTGGAGAAAGTCTACTGAAACTCTTTTTCCCTTTCCTATATTGGCTGTCTTTTTCCTGACTGGTTAGTTGTAAGAGGTTTCTTTAAATGTATTCTATATAGCAGACCTCCATCAGATAATACAAAATACAAATATTTCTCCCACTCCATGGATTGGCTTTTCACTTCCTTGATAGTGTCCTTTGAAACAACATGCTTTTAACTTGAATGAATGAATGAATGAATGAATGAATGAAATCCAGTTTATCTATTGATTTGTTGAGTTGCTTGTACATTTAAGAAACCAGCTTCTATCCCCAAATCATGAAGATGTATACCTATATGTTCCTTAAAACATTGCTTTTGAATGAGAACTTTCCTGGGTTTTAGTGGGTGGTGGACTTTATTTAATAATGTCTCTTGAAAAAAAAATTCTCTTGTCTGTTGATTGATATTTCTCTCAAATGATGCTCATGTACCTGTTTTCCCTCCTGTGGAGCATGCCATGGCCTGTAACAGTGATTTTGGAAATGGTATCTATCAATATCCTGGCTTTGCTTCAAGGGAGAGTCCTGGTTCTATAGTGGAGCTGGTCTTAAACTCACCCACAATTTCACAAATTGCTCAGTACCTTTGGAGGTGAGTAGTCGATCTTTTTGAGGAACATGTGTCTGGTAGTCCAGATCATTCTAGGGTTCTAGGACTTTCTCAGCCCCCTCCAGTCTGGAGGGGCTTCCATTAATCTCTGGTCTGAATGGAAAGTAGACCTGCTTCAGGGTTTTGGGAAAGTTTTTCCATACAAATTGGTTCCTCTCCAATCTTTTTATTATATACATTATTTCTTTCTAGAAAAGGGGAAAGGATATTTATATTAGAACAGCTTATCTATTCTTTGCCAATTGTTTATGTTTTTAAAAATGCATAAAGGAGGGGCACCAGGGTGGCTCAGTTGTTAACCATCTGACTTCTGCTCAGGTCATGAGCTCAGAGCCTTGGGGTCAAGCCCCATGTCAGGTTCCCTGCTCTGCACAGAGCCTGCTTTTCCCTCTCCCTCTGCTGCTCCCCCTGCTTGTGCTCTCTCACTCTCTCTAGCAATTAAATAAATAAAATCTTAAAAAGAAAATAAATCCATCTATATCCTTACCTGAATCAATATTTCATGACATTTTTATGCTGGGTAAGATTTCAAGGGTTTCATGTTTGTTTATACATTCCTCTGTTACTGGACTTTCATGTTCTGGTTTGAGGAAGTTATAATTTAGGCATAATAATAAAACTGTTAATGAACATTCACATGCTGATCATTCTGTAGACATATTGTGTAAATACCTAGGAATGGAATGACTGTCCATAGGATTTGTATTTCTTTAATCTTATAAGTGGAAGTCAGCTTTACAAAGTGGTGGTACAATTTTTCATTCCCACAGCTACATGAGACTTCCGGGTGTTTTATGTGAGATTTCAGACTTTCTGACTTTAGCCATACCAGTAGATACACATAGTATCTCATTGTATACTGATTTCTTTCCCTCCTGACTAATGACTTGTGCCTCTTGTCATGTGCTAATGAACCATTCATTTATCTTGTTTTGTGAAGTTTCTGTTCAAGTCTTTTGACCAATTGTTTTATTGTGTTAATTATCTTCTCAGACTACATGATATCTAATTCTAGAGAAAAGTCCTTTGTCGGAGATAAACATATTTCTACACTGTGGCTTCCCTTTATGTTCTCTTAAGTTTGTCTTTTCTTCAAGAGTTACATATAGAAAGATAAAGATAGATAAATTCATTTTCATATCCAAAGAAATGATTCATTGCTTATTTTAAGCTTGCAAAAATATATGGTTGATTTTTTTTTGAAAGTAGAAGAACCACTTATTGAATTTCAGGGTATGAAATGTTTTTTGTTTTTTGTTTTTTGTATTTAAACTGTTTCAACAGGTATATTGAGATATAATTTCCATGCAGTAAAGTGTATATAATTGAAGTCTCACATTTAATAAGTTTGAACATATATATGCATCACCCCAGTAGTGGTTATATCTATCACCCCCAAAAGTTTCCTTGTGCTTCTAGCAATTCCTCCCTCACATTCCCACCTCAGGAAACCACTGATTGGCTTTCTCTAACAATAGAATTATATGCAATTTCTGAGGTTTTATATTAATGAAATGTTTTGAAGTCTTTGTGCTCAAAATAATTATCTGAGCAAAAAATACTTTTTTTCTTACCCATTTTGTTATGTATGTGAAGAGATTACTCTGTAAAACTGAATAGTATTCCATGAGCTGGGTATGTCACAATTTGTTTGGGTCACTTACCTGTGGATGGATTTGAATGACAATTAAAAATAAGAGTTGCAAATAAAATAAAATAAAATAACCATTAAAAAAATAAGAGTTGCAATCAATAGATTTTCGTGAATATATCTTTTATTTTTCATGTGAGTGGAATGGTGATGGCCAATGGTAGGTATAGGTTTAATATTTTGATGAATTTCCCAACTGTTGGGGTGCTTGGGTGACTGAGTTGGTTAAGCATCTGGCATTGATTCTGGCTCAGGTCATCATCTCATTGGTGGTGAGACAGAGTCCCAAGTAGGGCTCAGTGCTCAGCAGGGAGTTTTCCTGAGATTCTGTCCCTCTCCCTTTCCCTCTGCCCCCCTCCACTCACTTTCACTCCCTCTCTCTCAAATAAGTCAGTCTTAAGGGAAAAAAAAAAAAAAGAGTTTCCAGGATATTTTCTAGAGTAGTAGAATTTAGTCTTTCCATCTGCAGCGTATGAGAAATCTAGCTCCCTCACATCCTTGCCAATACTTGGAATGGAGATCCTTTTCATTTTTGCCATTTTCATTGGTAGATAGTGGTTTAAATTGTATTTTCCTAAGGACTAATGATATAGATCTTGTCATGTTCTTATATGCCTTCCATATATATTCTTTGCTGAACTGTCTCTACACATCTTTTACCCATTTTATTTTATTGTTTTAATTTTTAAAGGTCTTATTTTTTTCATTTGAAAGAGAGAGAAGAGAGCAAGATCGGGGGTGTGGGGGAGGGTGAGGAGGGCAGAGGGAGAGCACTCCCTGCTCATTTGGGAGATTGATAGAGGGCGGCGGGGGCTAGATCCCAGGATGCTGAGATCATGACATGAGCCAAAGGCAGCTGCTTCACCAGCTGAGTCACCCAGGCACTTTTCTTTTACCCATTTTAAATTGGATTGTTTATCTTCTTATTGACTTATGAGAGTTCTTTCACTGTTGTATTAGGAGACCTTCCTCGGGTATGAAATTCATAACTATTTTCTCC